ATTAAGATTTACTTCATGATATATGAGTAACTCTGTTGATAAACTCCGGGTTGGGAAGCATCTTCCAATAACGATACTAAATTTTTCTTTAATGATAATAAATCCGGTTTGGTTCCTTTTATAAGATCATCTAGTAGTACATGTTTTATATCTTTTTGCGAAGTCTCCTCAAATCGAGAGAAATGACCAAGCCTCCAAAAAAGTTCATGTTCAGTTATGAGAGGCTCCAATTCTGGTCTATTGTAACATAATTCAGAAAAATGAGTTTGAATTCATTTATAATTTAATTATATATTTAGTTTTATTATGACAGTATTACCTGTTACTCAATAGACCCTCAGATATGTGTTTGGCAGTAAATGGATGATCTAAATCAAGATAACATTGAATCATACCTTGCAAGTATGTATGTTTTAAGTCTTTTTTCTGCGCGAGCCTTTCGTAACATGTAGCTGCATCCTAAGTAAATTGACATAGTATTCAAGATGTAAGCTAATAGAGTAAAAATTAGTGTTTCTTCAAAATATAAAATTACTTAAATTTTTTAAGATTACCTGAAGTTGTCCATTGACTTCATGAGCTAAAACCAGCTGTTGCAATGTAGGAAATTGTTCTTGAGTCGCTAGAATACCAGATACTCCGTCGGGATCATCAAGTTGTGCATAAATTTTCTGTAATAAAGCATATCTTGTTGAGAACAGAAGAATATGGAATAAAGAAATAGACTAAATTACATAAAGAGCATTACTTACAGCAAGTAAACCACCTTCTGTTAACTCTGATAAACCTTTGTTAGAAAAAGCCATATGTTGCTCTAGATACATTAGTGCCCGATGATATTCCCGAGATTCATAACAACCTTTTGCTACAATCAAGCTGTCCAATCCATCACAAAACTCTAAAAATATTAATAAAACAATAATCATATTACAATCGACTTATATAGAAATTAAAACAATATGTAAAATAGACACTTTTAATTACTACGCACTTTTTATCGCTTTATATCTGCTATCCTGCAATGATCTTCGTTCTCTAAGCCACCTTTGCAAATGATCTAATATACAAAAAACTACCTGTTCCAATTATATAATAATATATTAAATGATAGTATCAAGTTAATGTAGTTAAAACTCTAAAAAAAAAAATATTTGTGCTAACCCGTGAGCAGCGTGTACGTCTAGTTTCTTCTGAGATTCTTTTATCATCAGCCTTTACACTCTGTCCATACCGGAGTGGTAAATGACGCATAAGTTCAGAATCTAATATAGGTTTCTCTCCAACATTAATCACGGCCAACATCTCTTGTTTAAGCTTAATATGTATCTCTTCTCCATTACTTGCAATTACATATGCTAGTAAAAGAAAGTGTAATATATACACATATACTAAATGCATGTATTAAAATCATTGCTTTTTAAATTTGTGCTTGAACTTACATATGACATATGGTAGACAAAATATCAATGTTTTTATATCTCGCTTGAATGCCAATTTGCACGTTTGTAGTATATTACTGAGCATTGTATCATGTACAGCGTTCGATATACTGCAAAGCCAATTATAAGCCCAGCTTTCGACTGAAGAACCAGCTTCAGAACTATGAAAGTGTTTACAATCAATGCGAAATAGTAGCACAAACAATACGAAAAAATTGAAAACATAATATGCACACACTTAGGCTAATATCTTTTACAAAACATACCCATAAATAGGATGCGGTAATTCATTATCATCACTAACAGTTGCTATCTTGTAATGTGATGTCAAAAAAGGGATAATAATCTGTTGTGTTGTGAATGGCAAATTATTCCATAATTCATTATTTCGACCTTGTGGAGAAATGTCGTATGCTCTTAATATCTCCTGGAGATATCGATCACATTTAAATAAGATTTTTTGTAAATTTATCATAAATGCATATATATGTGTGTGTGAAATGTATGCACAAAATTACATACTTGTATAGCAAGCGAAAAACAATCCATACTTTGACTATTTTTTTGCATTTGGAAAGCCCGTACAAGTTCAACAAGTATTACACAGGCAAATTCCTCATTCATGTCCGATATAAATTTACTGTCCTCTGTAATACAATAAAATTTTTTAATATAGATTTCAAAAAAGTTAACACAGAATAAGAATTATAGCATAAAAAAAAAAAGAAAAAAAATTAAAAACCTCTAGAAATAATTCTTCGTGGAATAAGACTCGGTTCAATAGCTCCCAATTCTCCAAGGCATTCTCCATAGCATAAACGAATAGATTCGTCTTTGTCTTGACATCCAATTAGCAAAGTATCTAACAGCTTTAAAATAAAATACAAATATTCTAATAAATAATATGCACGTAATATTTATATATAATAATGATAAACATACTTCAACTATTAGTGGATGAACATCAGTTTCGCTTAATATCATTTTGTTAAGCTCGCTGCGATGCTCTTCTAAAAACGTTTGTAAATGTTTCAGAGCTCTAATTCGTACTTCGTCAGTTTCGTGTGTAATTCGTTTCAACCATAACTCTAAATTGGCATTAAATCCTTCGGGTCTACAATTAAAAATTTTTAGGAAATCTCGTTAAAAATGTGAATTATAAATTTATATTATTAAAATTACTTTGCTTGCAGAATATGTGCCTTGACTATATTAGATATGTGGGTGGGAACTTCCATGTCGTCTATAAAAAATAGTTCTGAAATATGACTGTTGTGTTCTTCACTATTTTGAACAATTAGAAACTCTAACATAATGTTGACTTTTTCTGGAAATATTTTCTGCAACGACATTAATGATACGCATATTGTTGGAAATAGCGATCTTAAATCTTCGATAGCTATACTGAAATGGTTTTTATGAGAATTATTATTTAGGAATATTATTATTTCACATATTACACATTGTATTAATTTTTTTGATACTTTTTTTAACATACTTGTGAATAAATGCGTCCCATGCATCGCAGACTAAGCACGGAAAACCAGGTCTTTTAAATCCAAGTGAAGTTCTTAATGTGGCTAAAATTTTGTATCGAAGTGGAGTTAGGTAAGTAGCACCCATGTACCGAATTAAAACAGCTAATGAAGCAAGTACAGATTGCTGTGTATATTCATCTGATTTGGGACCAAGTTTTATATCAAAGTTCACCAGTATGCCATGTAATCGTAAATTCAAATAAGATGCCTGTGTATATATGTATATATATCATAATATATTTTTGATGTACTTTGTGTTAAAGAAGTAATATACTTATTAAACAAATACTCACAACTTGATCTTGTGTACCAAAATTTCCTCTCTGATTACTATCGTATTCTGAAATAATTTCTAAAAAGCCTATTATTCCTTTAGGGGATTCATGAAAATTTAACATAAGTTCCTCAAAAATTCCCTATAAAAGAATATATACATGCATATTTTTGATATTATATAATAAAAGTTAACTCTATTGAATAATAAGAGATTTTGGTCTTTACCATAAATGACTGCTTTGTAAGAAGTTCAAGACTAGTTTTTGTTATACTCATTACTAGTCTCAAACACTCTGCTATTCGTAGAGGTATATTTAAAAATGCATAACTATAAATATACTAAAAAAGAGGAAAAGAAGATAGATTAAATTATACATTATTATGTATTAATCCGATTAAATTATATCATTTTACATACTGGAAAATATTCTTCAAGCATTTGCTTTGTATCCATATTTATCAATTCAGCTATATCGTCTAAAAGTGCTTTTGCTTTTGGAACTTCAACAATAAGGGCAATCAAAAAGCAGATCGCATAGTGACCGTCCTTGCGCAGCAATTGACGTGATCCTTCATAGCCAATACATTTAGCGAGGCGATGTACCGTAGTTGCCATATTATATGAATAATATATATAATTATTAACTGCACTTTTCATTATAAGCTGCAACAAGATAAAAATTGCAAACATTTCAAAAAGAAATAACGTTATTTATAAAAAATAGTTACCTCCAAAAAATCCTTTCGATATCGAATATACAAAGTTTTTGGAGAAACATTTAAAAAGTTAGCAACATCCTGATATGTGACTATGGCAGATGCTATAACTGTAGGTAACGAATTTGGATGTAATATTGTGATTAAGAATACATCTAGAATTCTTCTTTCTGTCAGATGTAATGGGACACTGAAATTATATTAATAAGAAGGCAGTTTAACATTTATACAAATTTTACTGTCAAATATATATATGTAATAATCTCTCTCTCTCTCTCTCTCTCTATATATATATATATATATATATATATATATACATATATAATTACCATACAAAATTCCTTGCAGTATCGAGTAACGTATCATGTAAAGAATGATTGGAGGTATTCAATGCAGTCATAAGAGCATTGGTTATAACATTGATTATTAAATCAACATATTTTTCCAAATCATCTGCTATAGTATCCGGCAAACATTCATTGTTACGCTTCACTATAGAGATTTTATTACTCAATAATCGCCCGATTACTGATGCAATATTCGATCGGATTTCAACATTATCATCATGTATATAAGAGAGCCACTTCTTTGTTACTTCATTTGAATTAAATAATTCTATATGATTCGAAAGAGAAAGAATACTTTTAGAAATATGCAAACGTATGGAAACGTTAGTTGATGAAAGTAGATCAAAGTATGTATTAAAAATATGATTATAGGTTCTTGGCAGATAGTTCATATTAGATTCGATATTTTCTTCCATATTCTCTGTGCAGCATTTACAATATACTGTCCATTTTCTGTTGTGTGATAATTCACTAAAAATAAATGTGGCAGTTTATTATTGCAATATTTCATAAATGCTATTATACTCATATCAAAATATCAATAAACCTGATAATTCTTCCCTTTCCTGATGAAACACAAACCACCTGGCCTAAAACATTTGCAAAAGCCTCTTGTATTTCTATTTTCGTCGAAGATAAAGCAGTATTTAGAACATGTTGGCAAACATCTTCCAGTTTTATGTCTGCATCATTCAGTAATAATACACTGTTCCTAAATTATAATATAATTTTTGTAGTTAATAAATACAGATACATATAAAAATTCATGGCAAAGTATATAAAAATACTTACAACACTGCTGTAACAGCTATTTGTGTCTCACCATTTAATATACATACACGTAATAATTTTAATCTTTCTTTTCCATTGCCATATGCACATAAAGTTTCAAGACACTCTGACATTATTCCAACATCAAGAGATTTTGCTCTTTGCACCATTTTTTGACTAATGTCCATAGAACCTTTGAAAGTTTGAGTAAATGGCAATGCTAATATTGATTGTAATAAAACTTTATTCGATTCATTGTGAGCCATTAAATTTATTAAAATTTGAAAGCTAATTTGCTCATTTTGACATTTGTCAGAATTTAAGTTCTGTATAAGAATTTTTAATATAATGTTCAAGTAATTTTCATATAATTTTATTTGAAATTTCTGTTCTTCCAGCCACAATTGTAATAAAGATGAAGCTTTGATAATATATAGTACTTCTGTGAATTTCTCAGCCTGCACAAAACTTATCAACTCTTGTCTTAATAATTTCCATTTCTCACTTATTTCTGTTGCAAGAACAATTTCATTTGGTATAGCAGCTCGTTTAATATCGATAAAAACGAATCGCATAAAAATGTCGATAATAGCCTAAAATAGATACAAATTATTTAAAAATACAGAAAATATATAAATGTATTATATAAATATATTAATTATATATATTGATAATTATATAGACCGAGCAATGTACGAAGTAAGCCAATAACTTCTTAGCTTTTAAAATGGTACAGGGCTTTGGTTCTTCAATTAAATATTGTTTAATTTTATAGCAGGCTGCTTCCATCAATTTTTGTATTGTTTCAGATTTTGCATTGTATGCTGAAAAATAGATGTAATAACAGTTTATAATCTACTTAAATGTGTAAATATAAATTCAAATAAAATAGAAGAAAATACTCACTAACAAATTCAGAAACTATAAAATCAATAATTTGGAAACACAATTCCATAACATTAAATGAAACAGGTAATAATTCTATCAAATGTATCCATGTTTCTACCAATTGGGACAAGTGTATTGACAATTGATTTGAATTAATCCAAGTTGGAAGATTTTTCACTATTTCTAAGCTATATGTAACTTTAGCCATAAGTTCCTATATATAAAAAATGAAAAACCCAAATATAATATTTCAATATATAATACAAATTATATCTTTAAATTTTATTTACTTACCCAATCATGAACAGTACAGTTCTTCATTATTTCTATGCACAGCCGTAAAGCTTCCACCTGCAAATCTGGAGAAGATTTAACAATCATTGTTGTAGCTTTGTCCCACAGTTTTACTTGATCCCAAACTGATATACCAGTCTTCATAATTATCTATCAATACAAATATCATTATTATTAAAAATAATTTCATTAGAAAAATGTTTGATTAGAAAACTGAATGAAAAAATAAAACCTGCAATAAAGATATATATACTGATGACACATTTGACAATTTAATCTTTGCAGGAAATGGGGTCAAGTCCAAATCCTGTATAATATTCTTTTCTGTATAAAATATTGAAAGAGTTATTTCTTCCGTTTCTCTGGCATTTAGATAAAACTCTGATATCTCTGTAAAAAGAAAGTATATTTATAATTATCAATAAATACTTATATTAGTCAGTATAATTATCTTCATCATATATTTAACTCTCTCTTATTCTACCTAAGTCTACTGTTACATACCATCAAATATATTTAAATATTCTGAACTAATGGTCTGAAACATTGTCCTGTGATGCCTTGATAATATTCTGAGCATACAAGCTTGTACTTCAATACTATTTGAAAGCACCACAGTGCTTGATGACACACATGTCAAATAAAACATTGCACCGAACAACCATGTTGTGAATGCTAAAAATATATAATTAACAGCACATTATGGAGTATAATTTTTTACATATTATATATTGTTCAGATGCAAAAATGTTACCTGCATATTGTTGTAAAGTTTCATTTGTTGTATCATTACTGAATGGTGGAATTAATACAGGTATTAAGGTAGAGGATCTTTTCAATAAAGATTCCAAAAGAGAACAGAGCATCTGCTCTGTTACAGGATTTTCCAAATCAGAAAAGATTGCTATTATTGGACGGTTAATAAATTGTCGCAACGATTCTGCTGCTATCCTATGACAAAAAATATTCATGATCAAAATGCATGTATTACATATTTATATCTTATAAAGAGAATATACAAAATTCTTTTGATTTAAAATTAATAAATTATTTTGCTATATGAAATATCTTATTGTTATAACAATGCTAGCATATTTATAAGCATAATAAATCTTTTTTCATTATGATATAAAATTATTCTTATTTTTATTCAGATACTGTTATGTTTTATATTTCAATCACACATTGAATGTTCCAACAATTTTGTTTGTAATTTAACATGCAATTATCAATATTTTAAATGGAGATATTTACGCATTATCTGTGGAAGTCGCCAAATCGTTATTCACTTCCATTATTGCGTATAAATTGTTGTAAATAAACAAAATGTGACTCTGTCATCCAACATTGCGGTTAAAAGCCCGCGTAGCAAAAATGGATAGATTTGTACTTTGAAGCTGAACTAGAATGGAATAAAATGAAATAGATATATATTTGGGAGTTGGAGAGAAAGAGAGAAAAAAACAAAAAGTGCAAGAAGTTCAGCTAGCAAGAACAAACTTATGTAAAAAGAAAAGTGTAGATAAAGATGCGTTCAAAAATTTTATTTATGGGGTAGAGTAACTTTTAATCGATCAATCAGAACAAAAGGAGCAAAAATTTCTGTGTCCTGATTGGTTAATTAAACGCTATTTTACCCTCTGGGTAAAATTTCCGAACGCTTCCGAAAGCAAGCAGTTCAGACGATTCGCGACGCGCATGCGCTGAGGCAATCAGCTGTTCTCGTCTAGTCACGTCACGAGCAGTCACGACTCTTTTTGCGTGTAGACGCGCGTGTCTAGCCGAATTCGTAATGTCGTTTTCTCGCGTGAAAATTTACATGCACATCGGTAAAGATCCGCGTAAACGTAACGCATTTTCGATTTGTTGAACTTTTTTATTTGCGCTTTCGATGAGCGAATTGCGATCTCGTTGGGCGCCGGAAGTTTTCCGTTAATATACCACGTCAGTTTTTCGCGGTACCGGTGGTGGTGGTGATGGTGGTAGTAGTGGTGGTTGGTAGCGGTGGTGGTGTTGGTTGTCGATGGTGTTCACAGCATCGGCGATAATACGTTTCGTGTCCGTTTCCGCGCGTTTAATAACAACGACGTGTGTGAAAAAAAGTTGCTCCTAATGCGGTGGATAACAACGTCGGTGTTCCATAAAAGAAGAGGATGAAATCCCGCATGTTGTACGTCTACTGGGCGCTGCTCCTAATATCGATGGTGTCCAGGTGAGTACACATTCGAACATCATGTTCGAACGTAACTAGAGTTTCGTAGATTGAATTTCAATCACGTAGAATAATAAATTGTGAGACACGATAAATTCTAGTTTATGATCTCGTTTATGATCGTGATCGGAATGTGAAAATAATTTCTTGCACATCTTTTTAATTTTTCTTTATATGTTACACAGTTGAATATAGAGTTATAAATTTCAAATTTTTTATAGACCTCTGCTAAATTATTCGTTAATATTTCGTAAGCATTTTCTAAAATATTTTTCAGTAAGAAATCGTGATGTTAAGTAGTACAAAAAATTAATTTTAATTTATCTAGGATCTATTAAAGAATTTTTTCGACAGTTTTGCTTTGATACTTTGACAAAATTAGAATTGAGTTTTATTTATCACAAATACATTGAGTATAGTCTTTTAAATAAATTAATATTAAATATATATCTTGACAATTAAGTCAACTCTTGTGCAAATTAGATTTCTGTTATAATTTAATTGCAATTAATTAATTTCAATTTTGATTAAGTTATAACAAAAATCTATAATTTATAATAGAACTATTTAGCTTTACAAAATGAAATATTTTACAAAAGATAATGACTTATATTGGCATTACATAACATTAGTATTTAAATAAAACAATTTTAATAATAAAATAATTTCTTTTTGTTATAGTGGACTTTTGTTCCTGATAGTAGCTTCAGAAGGTGCACAAACCGAAGATTCTTCTTTTCATACTGAAAAGAATGAGACTTATGAGGCATACAGTAATATTACGCTTAATTATGATAACCATGAAAGTTTTGAGTCATCCATATTGGATATTAAAACTCGAACTACAATGACATTCAAGACTAATGAGAATGATCAATATCATCAGGTAAGATGATTATACAATTTAATTCCTCTTATAAAAAAAGGAAAATATCTATTTATATCAGACATGTACAATAAATAATATGTATATTATTGTCAAATGATAATACATAATGATAAAGTATGTATACATGCGCAATCTATTTTATATATTTCACATTATATTACAGGAAAAAGCTACTACAGTCTCAGCTAGCGTTAAGAAAGTCACCAACGACAATGCGCAGTTGGGAAAAGATATGGATATTTTAGCAGAGAGTCTTACACAGCAGCCTAATCTCTCCCAAGAGTGAGTTTATATATAATCATTATTTTATTTTATCTTAATATAAATCATAGTACTTTTAAAAATAACAGATATGTAGGAATATGCACATGAACTGTAGCAACTGATCAATGGTATATAAGATTATATTATTATTATTTTACGATAAAAAATTGATTTAAATTGCTAGTACATACAATAATAAATTATACAATAATAATTTTATTACATTGTTTTATATATGCGCATGGTATCTGTTTTTTTATTGCTCCAAAGTATTTGTTTGACTGTAGATTTATTTTTGTGCGCGATAAATATGATGGTTACTATTGCAATATAATGGCTTAAATATCTTTGAAAATATTAAAATATACTTGTTAAAAGAAACTTCTGTATCATTTTATTTATTATCGTATTGATGCGTTGAAAGATTATTCTCTCGATAGTTGATATATATTTATTATAAAAAATTTAAGTCACTTGAAATCATAATAAAAATGCAGGGACGATTAACAAAATACACGTGAGCATATCTTGAAAAAAATTGGCATCAGGTTAAATAGAAATTGAAAAACTGTGTTTTATATCAAATATATATACATCACACGATATTGGAATGACATTGCAATTATTTGGAAAGCTCAGCAGTCTTTTGATAAAAGCTGATGTTGATGTTTACATGATAATATAAATCATGTAACTGTATTCGTTATTGTCTTGCAAAATCTGGCAAGATACGATATAATACGAAACTTGTTAATTAATAGCAGGCACGTGTAAATGATTGAATATCCGATTTGGTGACGTCTTAGGACGCGATAACATACAATGGATATGCGCCAAACCGGCGACAAGAATGACGCAAAATGTTAATCATAGATTATCGCGACAGGTTTCTGACCTGTATTATCATTTCATTGTATATACATTTGTTTTTTATTTGACATTGCTATAAGATCATTAAAATCGTTAAAAAAACAATGGTATAAATATATTATAACATAATATATATCATAGTATAATAATAATGCCGTAGAAGATTATTAAACGAAATTATTTTTCAAACAAGTTAAGGACCTAGTTAAACTGTATATATCATCAGAATTTTAATCTATAATTTATTTACTTTTTTTTCATTATAACTTTTACAAATCTTACGAACACTCATTTATATATTGGTCATGATATTTCAGAAAAACAAGTGTTTGTAATTCTGGTTTGACTTTTAATGAATTCGCATTATATCGAGTAACACTGTTTGTGTTTGTTTTGATATGATATCACGCACACAGGAACTGATTCGAATATAATACAATAACAATATAAACTTGTTTATTCGATGATTATATTATTATTATCCTCGAGAAATACTATCATAACACAATATGCAAACGTTTTCTATGCATATTAACTGCTTCTATCATTTTTTACCACGTGACCTTTTGTTGTCGCATCTTTTTATTATTTTCTTGCTGCACGTATTATACAGCGAATATTTGGCGTCGCTATTTTTTGTTTAATTCTTATTATTCTGTTTTTTTTTAATTATCATAGAGTTTGCTATAGCAAGAATTAAACAAGAAATAGTAGCGACGCCAAATATTCGCTGTATAATACGTATAGCAAGAAAATGATGAAAAAATATGACAACAAAAGGTCACATAGCAAAAAATGATAGAAGTAGTTAATATGTATAAGAAATGTTTGCATATTGTGGTGGTGTGTTGATTGATAGCATTCCTCCAGGATAATAATAATAAAATAAACCAGTTTATATTTTATTATTATATTGAACGTTAATGAAAATCTCGTTAAAAAGAATATATATTTGATTTATATACATTCTATTTTTTTTGTAGATTTTAACACAATTAAAATAGTAATTCGCGGTTATTTTTCTTAAACGTTTGGTGTGATAATAAACTATTTAATTTTAAATAACTATTCAGTTTTTTGTACAAAAATTTGCAATTATAAAACAAAAAGTAAATTTTGTACACATATAAATTTTCACATGAATACACACATATATATATTTTCTGAAGTATTTTCTTAAATTTTATTTCCAACAACACTGTGATAGTAATTTATTTATTTCATCATGCTATATCTCAAATCAATATCTTATAGATTGAGAAATTACTTTTTCACAGGGTGTAATATATCTCGTAATATTCACAAATAGTAATTATGTAAACGATAGACTATTAATTAACTTTATATTGGGCAATCAAGTAATATGTGAAATTTTATATATGTATATATAAATTTAGATTTCTAAAAGAGAAATGGTTAGTTTAGTTGTATGTCTACTAATTTTTTTATTGGCAGAGATAATAGAAGTTCTAAATCTAAAATTATACAAAATGTTGACTATCTTATACTCATCTGTTTCTTTATTTTATTTTACGAAAAGTTTTAATAATTCTTTTATTATTCTGTATAAAGTATATATAATTTTAACACACGAAAGACAAGTTTAGTATTTGCTTATTTTCGTATTCGTATGTTTTATATATATTTCTTTCATTAAAATTATGTGTGTGTATTCAGTTTTATCATTTCTTTTGGTCATTGCGATGCTTTGTATCTTGTTAGGCATGCTTTTGTACTAACGAGGCAATACGAGCTGCATTACATCGTAACCTGAGCTTTTAGGTGAAGGTTTATGTCTAGAATATTTTCCTGCGTCTTGTTTTGTACTTGTGTAATTTGCAACAAGTCTTTTTACATAAAATCAAGCATTAGTTTGTAAGAAGATTTTTTACATAAAGTCACGAATTAGTTTGCAAAAAAGCTTTTTTTACATAAAGCTACGCATTATAATAAAAATCTATTGCATTATAATAGTGGAAACGTATATATAACAGATATATACTTCGACACATTCTTCTATATTATTATACGAGAAAATATTACTAAATTTATTTGTATTTTATCACTAAATTACAAAGAGATAAATATTTTTGTATTGTCTTACAATTTTAGTTTACATTTTATGTATTATAATTTTCTTAAATACATAAATTTCTGCAAAATATCCATATGTAGGATATAAAACCTAATGAAATATATAAAATACGTAAAATAATGAAATATTTCTAAAATTATTTGGAATACACATATTTTACATTATTTCGAGCTTTTAATTGC